GGGCGGGCGGGCGGGCGTTGGGTGTTGCCATGGCGCTGGGCCCCGGGCGCCTCAGCCCGCCTCACCGTTGCCTGCTGTGCTGCCCTTCCTGCCGCTGAGCTGTGAGCTGTAACGTAAAGCCCTGTGTGGAGTGGTGACGTGCTGGCACAGCTGTGTGGGGAAATAAGTGGCTCGGCATCCCCGGGGGAGTGCAGTGTGGGTGTGTGGCTCTGAGGGATGTGGGCTGGATGACCTTAGAGGGCTTGTCCAGGCTAAATGGTACTCTGGTTCTGCTCTGTAGTTGTGCGTTTATCTGATGTAAGGGATGTTTTCACAGCCCGCGCCTTAGCTTTGTATGCAGTGATCCTCATTTTGGGATCTGCATTCATCCTGCTGATTATTTTTCATTTTACGTTGCCCTTTTGTTCTGTAGACGATCCTGGGAGAAACTCATGAAGAGGAAGATGAGATCCTTCCACGCAAAGACTATGAGGTGAGCAATAAACATCAGCTTCCTAAATATCTCAAGTGCTGAAGTCATGTAAGTGGGGCTGGTGTCCTTTTGCAGCAGTAGAACAAGGAGCAATGAGCCAAAATGAGCACATCAAAGTTCTGTGTTAATGTAAGGAAGAACTTTACTGTCAGAGTGATGGAGCAGTGGGGCAGGCTGCACACAGAGGTGATGGAGACTCCTTCTCTGGAATTACTCAAGATTTGTCTGCACGCTTTCTCTATGACCTGTTGTAGAGAAAATGCTTTAGCAGAAAGTTGGACTTGATGATCTCCCTTCCAACCGCTGCAGTCCTGTGATTCTGTGAAAGAACTGCACACAGCTTTTGATCAGTTTGAGTCTGAAATGGGGCAAGAAGTCCAATTGCATCACTACAGCTAGATTTCCTTGGCACCACAGGAATGCCAAAAGCTGCTGCTCTTGCAAGGACCTGCTCTGCATTCATTGATATGGCATTTGTAGGTTACAGCCCTGTGCTCTGAGTAGGTCTTGACCATCTGCTGCTTAAGTCAGATTCCTATTGAGAAAGAAGCAGATCTTTCCATCTACCTGAAAGGTAAGGTCCTGACTCTTACAGGAGATTATTGGTTGTTAAGTGTCTGAATGGAGGCCCTGAGTTATTTAGAGGAGCTGCTGTCAGCATGGATGTCAGCAAGCTGTTACTGCTTGATGGAACAGCAACCTGTTACCCTTTGGCTCAAAAAAGTAATGCTGATACAGGTAGAAAGTAATGATACCTTGTGACTACAGTGGGACAACTATTACTTTTAGCTTCCTCCTGTGATGAGGTTAAGAGCTGGTGCTGCCTGTTGAGAATTCGTACCTAGTAATTCTGCTGTAACTAAAGATTAAGTCTGATGTTGCCCCTTGCACTGTCACATTGGAGGCACCTAACAAAGCAAGGTCTAAGTCTGTACGTTATGACTTTAATTTAAGGTTGTGTTAATCAGTTTATTTGTTTCCTATCCTGGTCTGCTCTTCCTGATTCTCACAGCTTGGCTCTACTGGAAATTCTTAAACAAAGTTGCTTACAGAAGTTTTGCCTCCCACGCTCGTTTGCAAAACAAGCTTTGGGGAAGTAATGACTTCTGTAATCTTTAACAAGGTCACTGTGGGCAGATTCTTGCACAGTCCATAGCGGCTGATGTTCTTAGGTTGACCTTTTGGCTTTCTTCCAGAGCTTGGATTACGATCGCTGTATCAATGACCCATACTTGGAAGTTTTGGAGAGCATGGACAACAAGGTAGGAACTTGTTTGTTTCAGCTTTTAGTATCTTGAGAGCTAAAGCTGTAGAAAGTTTTCTGATCTCTGTATGTTCCTTTGACCAGGCTCGTTTATTTATTTATTCTTTAATCCTATTTCTGAACAGAAAGCCCGAAACTATGAAGCAGTGAAATGGGTGATGGTTTTTGCCATTGGAGTCTGCACGGGACTGGTAAGGATCATGCTGTTTGGGAAGAGATCAGCAGGAATAAGTTAGAAGTCAATGGCAAAAGAGGGAAGCTGAGTAAATACGTTCATGAAGTGGAGAACTTCCTGGCTGGAGGTGGCTTTTGGGAATTAAAGCACATTGTTGATGCATTATATTCCAGGAGAGCTTTTTTTCTTCCAGATGTTGCTGTGTTTTCTCTGCAAAGTATTCAGACAAATTCTTTAACTTTGCAGAACTTGTCCAAAGTGAGCACTTAATCAAACAGAATGCCAGTTTACAGTTGAGCTGAGTTTATGTTTGGCAGTGTAGACTTCACTGTATGTGCCTGAAAATCAGCTTTTCTGACTGTATGCCTCAGTTAAACATCAGCTTTCTTCTGTACCCCAATGTAAGTTGTAGGTGTTAAGAATGCTACCAGATTAATGCTCTGAAGTGGAATAATCCTGGGATGGATCTGTCTCAGAACAAAGGAGGCACTGAATTTAAGCTTCCCAAGTTACTTTGCTCTTACTTGTTCCAAGTTACTTACTCTGCCTTCTTCATCTTCTGTCCTCTCACGTGTGTGTATTCCTGGCAGGGCTTGCTAGAGGCTGGTCTTTGTTGCTTGCATGTAGTGATTTCTGATGACAGGTCTGTCATTTTTTTTTCATAGGTGGGCCTCTTTGTGGATTTCTTTGTACGGCTCTTCACCCAGCTCAAGTTCCGGGTTGTACAAAGCTGTATCTTTTACCTGATGGTTGGAGTCCCGTTGGACTCAAGTGACCCTTTTCTTGTCAGGTTTTGCTCAGAGCAGCTGATTCTTTTAGACTTTTGCCGTCGGTCACATTGTTGATTAATCAGGTTTTAATTTGCCTGTGAAACCCTTGAAACCAAGAAAGTAGTTTCAGAATCAGTATGTGGGCAAAGGCTGATCTTTGAAAGATCGAGTTGTTTCCCTTCCTCATAGCTCAGCCTGGAGCTCTGGCTGGGTGATTGGCTCTCTGATGAGTGGTAACCTGCTCTGCCCAGAGTTGGAAGCACAAGTTTGGCTCTTGTTGCCAGCCAACACCGAATGATTGTGTGATGGGAAGAATGTTGTTGCTTTCCTTGACCCTCCATGCAGCGGTGGAAGAATGCACTGAGAAAGGCTGTCTTGCCTTGTCTTTACTGGAGCTGCTGGGGTTCAATTTGACCTTTGTTTTTCTTGCAAGTCTTCTAGTCCTGATCCAGGTAAGACTTAAGACTGTGCTGCACTTTGTACATTCTTCCTTTTCTCTCACGTGGGTTCTAGGTAGGAAGCTTCCTTCCTGCCCACAGCCCAAGGCTATCTTGTGGAACCAAGATAGGCTCCAGAGAAGGCAGGTCCACCTGAATGTGAATAAAAACTTGCCCTTCCCTCTCTGGAGTTCTAAGAACTAACTTCACAGTGCTGTTTGATTTAGCTAAGTAATGTCTCTTGATCCCTGCTGTGCCCTCTGACTGAGGTGGGGTGACAACTGAGATGTTGTCAGTCAGCTTTGACATTAGTACAGCACAGCATCAGTGTTTCCTTTCTGCAGCCTGTGGCAGCTGGATCAGGAATTCCTGAAATTAAGTGCTACCTCAATGGGGTAAAAGTTCCAGGGGTTGTGCGGCTCAGGACGGTGGTGTGCAAAGCTGTGGGAGTGCTCTTCAGTGTAGCAGGAGGTAAGAAGGGCTGTGATGTCTTGTTGGGGCACGGAATCACTGAAGGGAGAGAAACAAAGGGGAGGGTGCAGGAGGCTTCTCTGTCTTTCTGGTGAAATGATTTTGATGGGCTAGTTGTGAGAGTCAGTAAGACAGAAGGGATGGAACTGTTAAGAGAACAGGTGCTCTTCTAGGTGGGTCAGCAAGAGGCGTCTCCGTCTAAGAGGGAGACGTGAGAATTCTTCAGAACACATTACCTGGAGCAGTCTGAAGGAGGCTGTGTTGTACGCAGCAGGACTCACAGTAACCTGGGGAGTTCAGAGTCATTGAAG